GCGTGTATGTGTATGTGCGTGTGCATGCCCAAAATTCTATAAGGGGGACCAGCAGTTAGTGTAATGGTTATGTCACTGGACTCCCACGTAGTCGACAGCAGTTCAAGTCCTGGACCTGGCAGCTTAAACTCACGCCGGGCGTGTGTGCGTGCATGCCCAAGATCCCAAGAGGAGAATGGAGGAGAAGGGATTGCGGCATGGCCATCCCCCCTGGGGGATGATTTCTCGATTTCTATCTCTCTGTCTCTCTCTGTCTTCCTGGTGTGAAAACCTCTCAAAAAAAAAAAAAAAAAATCCCATACGGAGGGAAAATTGGAGGAGAAGGGACTGTGGTGTGACCATTCCCCATAAGAAGGATGGGTGGGTTGCTTTCTCATTTTCCCTCTTTTCTCTGTCTCTGTCTCTCTCCAATGAGTGCATGCACTCTCTGACAACAACAACAAAAAAAGAGAGAGATTTGTATTTTGTATGTTTTTGGTTTTTATTTCACCTTTTTTCTACTAAGTCTTAGTCTCAGTCTTAGTCTTTTTTTCTTCTCAGAATGCATCGTGATTTTGAGCAATATTCATATACAACAAATAAAACTTTAAAAAGAAAAAGCCCTTCACCACGGCCGTTTAATCAGATGATCGCAGACCCACGGGAAAGGGCAGGCATCTTTATTGCATGTGAAGTCCCATTCCTGGGACTAACAGCGTAATGGCTCTGTCGCTGAACTCCCACGTAGCCGACCGCGGTTCATGTCCCGGACCCGGTGGCTTAAATTCACGCCAGGCGTGTGTGTGTGCATGCATAAGATCCCGAGAGGAGAATGGAGGAGAAGGGATTGCAGCGTGGCCATCCCCCCTGGGGGGTGATTTCTCGCTTTCTGTCTCTCTGTCTGTCTCTGTCTCTCTGGTGAGCACACACACCCTATAGCAAAAAACCTCTCAAAAACAAACAAACAAACAAACAAACAAAAAAAACCTCGGTAGGAACCCCTAGGTGCAATAACCAACTTGAGGTTGCAGGATCCTTGGGAAAATGTGGACCAGCTCCTCCCACCCCCCCCCAACCCCGTGCCATTCCCCACAACAGTGTGGGAGTGTGTGTATTCATTACCGTCCTGACGCTGAAAGCTGTTCACAATGTAATGAGTGAAAAAAGCAGATTGCAAGCGGATTGCACCATCCAACTCTGCATCTGTAAAAGTACACTCATATGTGGGTAGGAAATCATCAGAAAGGGCAGAGGCAAAAAAATGATGTGCCGGTGATAATCGGAGTGATCATAATTTTCTTTCTGCTTCACTGCTTTTTTTAATCTTTCCAACACTACGTGTGCGATATTCGTATCACTTTCTTTAAAGGACAGTTAGAGAAAAACATTTATATAAGGAATCTCTTTCCTCCACGATTTCTTTAACCTATTCCAGCCAGGTAGATTTTCCTTTAGAGCATCTGGGCAGAGGGGCGGGACAGCACCCTGAGGTGGCCCAAACCCACGAAGTCCAGGCTGGGCAGTTTGGGCTTCCAGGTCTGGCTGTTGAGCTGACACACAGTAATGCTGACCGCTGTCCTGTGTCTCCTGGCTCCTCTGCCCTCACTGGTCATTGCTGGTCTTTGCTTCTGAGATTTTCACGGGTTTTCATGTAACAACTAGAAAAAAAAAATTTTTTTTTGGAGAGGTTTGGTTTTGTTTTTTGTTTTGTTTTTTTGCTATAGGGCACATGCGCTCGCCAGACAGAGAGAGACGGAGAGACAGAAAGCAAGAAATCACCTCCCAGGGAGGATGGCCACACCACAATCCCTTCTCCTCCATTCTCCTCTCGGAATATTGGGCATGCGTGCACACGCGCCCGGCGGGTGTTTAAGCCACCGGGTCCGGGACTCGAACCACGGTCAACTACGTGGGAGTCCAGCGACACAGCCATTACGCTAACTGCTGGTCCAAGCTAGAAAATTAAAGCAACAATGGCTTAAGGTTTAGATTTAGGCAAATTTCCTTCTTTTAGACTTTTCCACTTGTCAGACAGAAATACAATCTGCATCTGTTTAACTCGCCAAAGGCGTGCTTGGCAGATGACCACTCAGTAGTATGTCCAAGTTGTTGGTTTGATTGTTTGTTTTGAATTGTCCTGATCATTATGATGACAATAGTGTCAGCCAGGGTGTGGCATGAGATTTAAACCACCACATCTGGGACTCGAACTGCAGTCTACTACATAGAGTCCAACGACGTAACCATTCCACCATTTGCTGGCCCCAGTAGCAGACCTTCTTACATATAAATGTGTCATTAGAAAACTACAATTTTTCTTCTTTTTTTTTTTTTAGAGAGATTTTAGCACTCATGCGAGAGACAGAGAGAGAGAAAGTGAGAAATCACCCCACCTCACCCCCCAGGAGCAATGGGCATGCCGCAATCCCTTCTCCATCCTCCTCTTGGGATTTGGGGCATGCTTGCACGGGCACTGGATGTGAGTTTCAAGCCACCAGGTCTGGGACTTGAACCATGGTTGGCCATGTAGAAGTCCAGCACCTTAACTACTCTGCTATCTGCTGGCCCTGAAAATCCACAATTTTTTAAAAATAATTTTATTTAACTTTATTTGATTTATTTTAAAATTTGACCAGAGAGGGACAGAGAGAGAAAGTGAAAGTGAAAAAACAAGTCGCCAGGTCTGAGTTTCAAACTGCAATTGGCCATGGAGTCCAGCGCCCTTAACCACCAGGCCACCTGCTGGCCCCCAAACCCCACAATTCTTAAACATTGATACCCACAACTATTCTTCTGTTTATTCAGGTTAGAATTAATCGGGACCAGCACTTAGCATAATGGCTATGTCACTGGACTCCCACATAGTTGACTATAGTTTGAGTCCCAGAACCGGCAGTTTAAAATTCACACTGGGTGCATGTGCATGCATGCCCAAAATCCTGAGAGGAGAAGGGATTGCGGCGTGGCCATCCTCCCCTGGAGGGTGATTTCTCACTTTCTCTCTGTCTCTGTCTCTCTGGTGAGCCCATGCAACCTATAGCAAAAATCTCTCTTAAAAAAAAAGAGAAGAATAGTTAAGAAATGCCATATGGGGACCAGCAGATGGTAGAATGGTTACTCACTGGATTCCCACATAGTTGACTATAGTTTGAGTCCCAGAACCGGCAGTTTAAAATTCACACTGGGTGCATGTGCATGCATGCCCAAAATCTCTAGAGAATAATGGAGGAGACGGGATTGCAGCGTGGCCACCCACCCCTCAGGGGATGATTTCTCATTTTCTGTCTCTCTGGTGAGCTCACACGCCCTATAGCAAAAATCTCTCTTTAAAAAAAGAAAGAAAGAAAGAAAGAAAGAAAGAAAGAAAGAAAGAAAGAAAGAAAAAGAAATGACATACAATAGCCTATTAAAAAGTACCACGAGATCTGACATGTAAGAAGCGCTGTCTGATGTGAACCTGTCCAGGTGGGTAAGCATGAATATGCACACACACTCACGTAGACTACACGTTACATGGATTCCGGCCATGACCCGTTCTCCCTTCTCACCGCAGCGAGGCTGGCCAGGCTCTGCTTTCTCCCGTACCCACTCTGAAGCACACAGGCCCCTTCCCACCTTCCTTCATCTCTCCAGTTCCGCTCTCCACGGCTTTGTTAACGCCATAATTCCCTCCGGGCCACGAGGGAGCCTTCACGACTGGCTCCAACCAGCAGGCACAGGTGACACCGAGCACAGGTGACATCCGGGGGACGACAGGGCCCCTTGACTGGGCCCTCTCTGGCCTTCTGTTCTTCCTCTGCCTCTGCCATGGAACCACCTCGTCTTCCCTCACTTCGAACCAGGAACCGGGCCCTTCCCACGTTGGGAACCCTGAATACTCATTCCAGGAAGGGAAAAAAAGCTGGGGACCACCAACTTCAGCGAGGAAAACGCATTCATTAACTCATGTTCACGCCCTCCACTGCAAGGGCAGGCCTTGAAAATTGGGGTGAGACGGTTTTCATGCTGGGGAGAGGAAGGAGTTTGCAGGCACCTCCCGCCTGACCTCCTTTCCAGCCCTCCAACCCTGGGGATGCCAGTGCTGCAAGCGAAGACGGGGGCTGCTAGGTCACAGTACGAGGTGACCAAGGCGAGGACAAGCCACAGGACCAGAAGGCTGAGCTGCCTGGGTGGGGGCAGAGGTATCGGCCCTGGGCAGCGAGGCAGGCCTCCCACCGTAGACAAAGACGCAGGACCCAGGCCTGTAACCAGATGTGGGTAAAGGAGCACGAGGAGGAGAAAGCAGCGTGGGAACCGAGCAGCTGGCCTGGTTTTGTCACCATCGTTCTGGTCACAGTCATTTATGCCAGCTGCCTGCCTTTATGTGTGTACTGGCCGTGCCCCACCTTGAGTCACGTCCCTTCACGAATGCGCGTAAGAGTGCTCTACTTCCATCAGGGCAGTAAATACCCAGGTCGGGGTCCGGACTTCGCAGTTCTTCCTCAAGCACCTTGGCTTATTTATTTATTTATTTATTTATTGGAGAGGTTTTTGCTATAGAGCAGGTGCACTTGCCAGAAAGACAGAGAGAGGCAGAGAGACAGAAAGCGAGAAATCACCCCCCGGGGAGGATGGCCACACCACAATCCCTTCTCCTCCATTCTCCTCTTGGGTTCTTGGGCACGTACGCACACGTGCCCGGCGTGAGTTTAATCCACCAGGTCTGGGACTCGAACCACGGTTGACTACATGGAAATCCAGCAGCATATCCATTATGCCAACTGCTGGTCCCAGCACTGTGGCTTTTAAGCTATTAGGTTGAATGGGGTTTGGGCGTGCACATGTACATGTGTGGCCCTATTTATTCAGTATTTCTCCTAACAGTTTTAATTATCTGAACAATTTGGTAAACATTTCTGTTTACCAAATCTGGAATTTTTTTTTTCATTCGGGTGCTTCATCCTCATGAAATAATAAAACCTCTACATTTTTCCCCTTAGGCACGCATTAAACAAGGAGACTTCAAAAAGCTTGCCGAGAAATGCAATTAAAGTATGAGTTTATTTTGGCACAAAAGAACTTTGAAGCCAGGCATAGATTTTTTTCATAATATGCATTTTTCTATGACCTTTCTGAACATCCCCCGGGTAGGTAAACACCTTACCAAGTACTCCGATTACCAAGTACTCCAGAAAACTACTAAGTCGCGTTGCCAGGCCAGCTCAGGTTAGAGCGTGGATGGGATTTGTTCACCATCCCACAGAACGTGGGGTCCCCCTCTCTCTTGCAAGACCTGCAGCCAGAGAGCCCCACTGTGTCCGGACTAGCAGGCCAGCTGCAGCTCCTGGGGCCAGGTGGGACTGCTCACCTGTTCCACGTCCTGCTGCTGTGACCTGGGGCAGGCTGGCCCTCCTTCCTTCTGTCTTGGTGCGTGAGATAGGGAAACTTAGAGTTCTTTGAGTGGAAGGTAAATCAGATCATAACTCGAGGTGAGCAAAAGGAAATATTATAAATAAATGCTCTTTTATTCACTTTACTATAGGGCACATGCACTCACCAGAGAGACACAGAGTAAGAGAAAGGGACAGTGAGAAAGCACCCTTGGAGCAGGGGGCAACCATGCTGCCATCGCTTCTCCTCTCAGGATTCTGGGCACCCATGCCCAGTAGGTTTTCCAAATCTTTGGATCCAGGATTCGAACCACTCGGTCAGCCATGTGGGATCTAGGTAGCTTAACTACCACACCACTGGCTGTTCTAGTAAACGCTTTTGTTTTTAGTTACAGAGAAATACAGCGCCAACTGTTCAAAATCATCAGGCGGTTTCGAAGCACCTCATGTTATAAAATTGCGTTTTAAATACAACGCTGAGTAACAGGCGCAACATGAATGGCAAGGGTCTTCGTGGATATTTCCGAACCGGATTACCTACTAAACCCCGGCAGGCCAGTGGTTTCAATAAAATGACTACTTGGGACAAAAATACCAACACTTTAAACAGGGCTGAGTTCTTCCATGCACATAGCTGTTTGCGTTTTCGAGTTCGTGGGAAAAGACTTTTCGGGTGCAAAAATTAAGTATACACAAGAGCTAGACATTTTGTTACTATTTAAATAAAAAGCGTCTTTAAATACGAAAGGCGTTGGCACACTCGCTTCATTGTCCAATGTCATGGACGTTTGAGTTTTGTCATCCAGGGTGGAATAGTCAACAGAGCTTCCCAAGGGGTCTGCCCTTGGGACTGGGCAGGAACTCCTTTGTAGCACTCAGTACAAACCTCTACGGCCAAGTGTCGTGGATAACTGTATCCAAAAGGAAATGGCTCAGGGGGTGCCCAGAAAGCGCTCCGAGCTTCCCGGCCGGCCTGCCCTCCCTCACCCCAGCAGTCTCTGGGGGGAGGACCTGAGCGGTGGGTGGGTGAAGTCTCTCGGGGTCTAGAAGATCTTACACTCATTGATGGAGAACAGCCGCCTCCTGTTCCGTCTGCGGGCCTGGTTGACAGCAGTCCGCACCGCGCACTCGAACACCTGCTGGACGCCCCGGTTGCTAAGGGCCGAGCACTCCAGGTAGCCCTTGGCCCTGACGTCCTGGGCCAGTCTCTTCCCTTCGATGGCATTGATGCAGGAGGCCCTGTGGGGCCCCACCTCCCGCTGGTCAGTCTGGGTGGCCACCACCAGCACCGGGGTGCAGGGCAGGTTGCTCCGGATCTCACCGATCCACTTGTTCTTCAGGTTCAGGAAGGAGTTGTGGTTGGCCACCGAGTAGCACATCAGCACCACGTCGGCCTGCTGGTACGACAGGGGCCGGATGCTCCTGAAGGCGTCGTTGCCCGCCGTGTCCCAGAGGCCCAGGCTGATCTGGATGCCGTCCATGAAGACGTCCACACCCGTGTTCTCGTACACCGTGGGCTTGTAGGCCTCAGGAAAGGTCTCCGAGGTGAAGCGCACCAGCAGGGAGGTCTTCCCCACCGCGGAGTCGCCCACCAGCACGCACTTGATGGAACTCAGCATCTTCCGCCCCGTCCTGCCGACAGTCCAGAGTCTGCAGGGAAGAGCCCTCAGTGGGCGGCGACCAACGCCATGCAGCGGGGACAGGGACCCCAGGCCGGTGTGTGTTCTCAGGACCCTGGAGACAGCAACGTGGGAACGTCACTTCTGGCTTATCCAGGCAGGTGCACTGTCTTCCGTGGAAACTTCCAAAGCCGCGTCTTCAGCTGGAAGAGAAAGAGGAAATGAAGTCTATCTTTCTTGCTTTTTCAATTAAATTTAATTTAATTTTTAATGATAGTTTCTTAGCAAGCTCACTAAAGGTGGGCTCCTTCTCAGCGTCGCCCTCCAACCCCACCTGCGCAAGCTCACCTGAGCTTCTTGCAAGGAAAGCCCAGATCCTGTCCTCCCCAGCACACGCCCCACAGTGCCTTCTGGTCAAGAAACAGAAGCTGGTTTTATCTCTACCATCAGCCTGGTGACAGGAACAGAAGCAACGGCTCTGATGGCGACATGAAAAAGACCTCAATGCACCCGGGTGTGTGAATGAGACGTTTTCAAACAGGTCTCTCTGGCTTCTGCTCTAAGAAGTGCAAAAGGCAGCCCCAGGCACTGCGGCCTCAGTTTCTGATGGAGTCCAGCCCCCTGGGGAACTGCGAGAGAGACAGACAGACGCAATGCCCAGACACGACGAGCAGCCCCCTTCATGTTCAACCAATCACCCGGACCCTGCTTTTTGTGGGTTCGTGCTGAAGTAGGAGACAAGAAATCACCAGACCTCCCAAAACTTGCTGTGGTTTTTTCCCTTGAGGTTTTTCAAAAAACCAGCTAGCACTGTGACGGACCATTCTCTGCCTCTGAAATCAGGCTCCATCCCCTACACAACACCAGGGCTTTGAGCCCTCTTAGGCTTGAACTCTGAGCCTCAGCTACATGGCCGCAAGGGACCAAGTCTCAGAGACAGCGTGAGAAACCAATTGCTTTTTTTTTTTTAGAGGTTTTTGCTATAGGGTGCGTGCGCTCACCAGACAGACAGAGACAGAGAGACAGAAAGCGAGAAATCAACCCCCAGGGGGGATGGCCACGCTGCAATCCCTTCTCCTCCATTCTCCTCTCGTGATCTTGGGCACGCACGCTCATGTGCCCAGCGTGAATTTCAAGCCACCGGGTCCGGGTCGCGAACTGCGGTCGACTACGTGGGAGTCCAGCAACATAGCCATTACACTAACTGTTGGTCCCAGAAACCAATCACTTTTCTCTTCACATTTCTGGATGGTTACCTGTACATCAAGAACCATACTGGGCTCCTGGTTAAACACAATAACTTGAAAGCAACTGTATGTAGTCCCTGTCACTTACATGAGAATGCACAAAAATCGCAGACACTGAATTTCCTGAGAACAGCTTGTGGGCTGCCAGTGAGAGAGCTCCAGCCGGTGACCTCAGCCTTGCAGACTGTCTGGCTACTCCAGCGCGTTACCGCAGGGCCAGCCCAGCTGCAGGTGGGGAGGTTTTCTCTTTGTTTTCTCTTTATTCAAGATAGATCACATGGGTGTGCAAGAGAGAGGCATCCACCATAGGGTCTGGTCACACTGCGATCACTCTCTTGGACACTCGTGCGAACGTTTCTGGCTGGCCTGGCCGGGGATTAGAACCTCTGTTGCCCTGAAAGACCAAGCTTCTCTTGAGCAGCACGCTACCGCTGCCCTACAGGCCCACTCAGGAAGAAGGTGACTAATGCAATCTGGGCTTATAACTTCCCCATTGGAGATCTTCCTGACATGCCGTCATCTGCCAAGTAGTATGTCTGCTTCATGAATTCATTTTCAAAAATCACTCCTCTAAAGCTTGATGTTCCCTCCCAAGACATTTTGGTCCCCATCAACTGACAGTCTGTCTCTGATTACATAAATAAGAGGCTTTGTAAATGAGTGGTCAAATAAATCATTCACAGGATTTTCAGATTCCATTTTTGCAAACACACATAAGCTGGGGTAGATCGGCCTAGTTACTTAACCTCTCTGAGTCTTGGTTTCCGTATAAAACTGAGAGCGAGCACTTTTTCATGTGATTATTATAAGGATTCAGAGCGTGGACAGCCTAGTTCATAAAGAACCTGGCATGCAAGGGGCGGGGGGGGGAGGTGTCTCTCGGGATTCATCGTGTTACCTATTTACAGTATCGTTTATTAAAAATACCGAATATTGGGACCAGCAGTTAGTGTAATGGCTATGTCGCTAGACTCCCATGTAGTCAACTGCAGTTCAAGTCCTGGACCCGGTGGCTCAAAACTCACACCAGGCATGTGTGCGTGCATGCCCAAGATCCCGAGAGGAGAATGGAGGAGAAGGGATTGTGGCGTGGCCATCCCCCCTGGGGGGTGATTTCTCACTTTCTGTCTCTCTGTCTCTCTCTGTCTGCCTGGTGAGCACACTCATCCTATAGCAAAAACCTCTCCCAAAAAATAAATAAATAAATAACCCAAATATTGAATGTCCACAGCAAAGGAACTGCAGTGGCGAAGGTATGGTTGGATTCTTTCTGAGGATGAGTCACTGTCATGCACAGGGGTCCTAGACAACTGTCTGTCACCAGACCTTCATGGAAAGACTCCCTGAGGACTCTGCAGGACCTTGGACTTCCATTTCTTAGACTTGAGGACAGCTTAAAATATATGCGTTTGTGACTTACTCTGGATTCAAGACCTCTGAAGACACTTGTAAGTTCTTCTGTTTTGTTTTATTTTTATCTCAGTGCCGGACTGGAATTAGGAGAAATGTGTACACATCAGGCCTCTTGGCTGCTTAACTAAAACTTCCTAATAAACTGACCTACAGCCAAGTATCTGCAAAAGGAACTCAACGAAGCACGATGGTTAAGAACACAGGCATTGGGACCAGCAGTTAGCATAATGGCTATGTCGCTAGACTCCCATGTAGTCGACCGCGGTTTGAGCCCTAGACCCAGTGACTTAAAGTCACGCTGGGCGCATGTGTGTGCGTGTCCAAGATCCCGAGAGGAAAATGGAGGAGAAGGGACTGCAGCGTGGCCATCCCCCCCGGGGGGGTGGAATGAAATAAATCAATCATTCTTTTTTTAAAAAAAGTACATGTTATGCCATCGTAGCTTTCCCAAGTATTAGAGGAAAGGTGTGGGGGCCTCAACTACCAAGTGGCAAATGGAGAGAGACACGCGGGCAGGCGTAGAGCCGCCCCCTGGTGGAGGGGTACGGAGGAGGAGAAGCCACAGCCCCGCAGAGCAGCCCCAGAGAAGTCATCAAAGACAGCTTGGTTCTCCCAGTGCGGCTCTACCTGGAACTCAGACGTGCACCACGTGGGAAGGAGAGGCCACCATTGCAAGCAGCCCGGCCCAGTGCCAGTCAGGGACTCTGAGCTCATAACCGCCTAACCGGCAGCAGGGTGTTCACCAGCTCGCTCGGCCCTCCGCTCCGTAATTCTGCAGGATCAGCTCTTTGCCAAAGAGCAAAAAGTCATAATGAAAATAACTTTAAAAGGGGAGAAAAGAAAGTCAAGAGTGAAAATGTTACACACACAAAACCAGATCACAAATCAAAGTAGCTCTGAGCACGGGAGGCCCTCTGTCCTGGGGTCTTCTGGTCTGAAAAACAGGGAGTAGACACGCCGGGCGCATGTGCGTGCATGCCCAAGGTCCCGAGAGGAGAATGGAGGAGAAGGGATTGCGGCGTGACCATCCCCCGTGGGGGGTGATTTCTCGCTTTCTGTCTCTAAGTCTCTCTCTGTCTGTCTGGCGAGCGCATGCGCCCTATAGTGAAAATCTCTCCAAAAAAAAAAAAACAGGGAGTAGAGAGTGTTTCTCCAGGGTTTTCCCCTCCTTAAAGCAGCTTCGTGTCTGATTTGCACTTCCTGGGACGCTATGAAGTCTTCTGAAGGTGTCAAGGCCCAGGACCTCCAGCTCTGAAGCACCATCTGTGACTGAGAAAACCAGCTCCCCACCTCGGGACCACCACCAGCACCCGACGCACACATCAGAACCACGTGGCAAGCGGCAGCCCCCCTCTCATCCAGGGCCAGTCAGACTGAAGGCACTCTCGCCATTCTGGGTAGCTCTCCGCATTTTCTCTGGGCCTTTTTTTCTTTCTTTCTAGAGAGATTTTTGCTATAGAGTGCATGCATTCACCGGAGAGACAGAGACAGAGAGACAAAAAGCAAAAAATCAGCCTATCCCCCACCACCACTCTCCCAGGGATGGCCACGTAGCAATCCTTTTTTTTCCCATTCTCCTCTTGGGATCTTTGACACACACACAAATGCACCTGGTGTGAGTTTTAAGCCACCGGGCCCGGGACTTGAACTGTGGTCAACTACTTGAGAGTTCAGCAACATAACCATTATCCCATTTGCTGGTCCCTCTCTGAGCCATTTTTACATACCCCTATTTTCTGATTACAAAAGTAACACACATTGTAGAACATTTTGAAAGCACGAAATGATCTAAAGGAGAAGGTAAAACCCAATCATTACATAGAACCAAAAGCGATAAAATATTACAATATCTTTTCCTATTCTTTTTTTCAGTAGATTTTCTTCTTTCAAAACAAATACCATACTTTATATACAGTTTGGAAACTTGCTTTTTAATTTACTATTCAATTATAAATGTTTGCTATATCAAGATTCTTCCACAGAATTTTAATGACTGCATAAATTCTCGTTATATGACCCTGGTTTATTTCACCACCTATCTGCTGTTCAATATTTTAATTGTTCCTAATTTTAACGACAGTAACATTGCATGAATGTTTCAAATGTAAGTTTGTAAAACTATAATTATTTCTTTAGGATAAATAGGTACGTGTGCAATTACTGGAACAAAAAAAAAAGAGATTAAGCAATTAGACCAACTTGTCTATCATAAATGGCATGTGACATGATCACTTCATCACACTATCAACAATCAGCGATCACTGCGTGTACTATTTGCCAAGTAGGGACCAGCAGGTGGTGTAATGCTTATATTCCTGGACTCCCACCTAGTGAACCGCAGTTCAAGTCCCAGACCAGAGGCTCAAAACATTTCAGACACGTGTGCGTGCGTGCCCAAGATTTTGAGAGGAGAATGGAGGAGAGGGCATTGCAGCATGGTCATCCCCCCGGGGTGTTATTTCTCTCTCTCTGTCTAAATCTGTCTTTCTGGTAAGCGCTTGCACCCTATAGCAAAAATCTCTCTTAAAAAAAAAAAAAATATC